TCTAAAGAAAAAAAAAAAAAAAAAAAAAAAAAACAAAAAAAAAAAAAACTGGGGAAATTTTGGACTGTCACAGAAACGCCTAGTCCTACTCTAGTCTCACTTTATATTTCCCTAATATAAACCTATGCTCTGTGGCGGCTAGCAGTTAGCCTTCTCTTTTTCGAAAACCAGCAGAGGTTCTTTAACGTGCACGGCGTGACTCACTGTACACCGGACCCCCGTTTAACGTCCCTTCCGAAGGACAAGAAGTTTTAGAAGATAGCGGGAGAGAGTGTATGGGAAAGTCGGAAATTGGAAAATAGGTTTAGCTTGTTAGCTGGTGTAGGTTTGTTATTTGTAGATGGGATTACTAGCCACCATTTGACAAGGTTAGTCATGCTGGTCTAGAGTGGATTTTAAAAGTGGGGAACTGTGTTATTAAGTTCAGTTATGAGAGTGGATGTGATGGGGTGATGTAAAGAATGTGCTGGAATTGGGTTAGCGTAGATTTTTGGGATTAGTGAGAATAAATGTGAATTATTATACAATCGATGTCGTTCGGGAGACTGTAGATTACTGTGTATAATCGTCTACATGTCTACCCTACTAGAGCAGGGATTTGTATATTAGAAGGTGGAAGGTAGGGTGGAAGAGATTTTGTAATGGTTGTTGGCTTTGGGTTTCGGCCCAGTGTATGTTGTATTTATGTAGGAGATGTTTTTGTGTGTGTATGTGGTGTTGTGGGTATGGTTTAAAAAAAAAAAAAAAAAAAAAAAATGGGGGGGGGGGGGAATCTTAATGTTTTTTTTTTTTTACAATGTCCCCTGCTAAGGGATGTGGTGTGTGTTATTGGCATGTATTAAAGGGTATTGTTGGTATGTGTGAGGTGGTGAAATTATAGTCCTGTGTCCAGTGTTGAATACACCTCCCTGTAAAGTCAATTACAGAGGGCTGTGTATCCTGGTTTCCCTACCTACCATAGGTTACTGACCACCCATTGGGGACATGTAGATTCGAATACGTCCACTGTTTATCCAGTTATAGTAAGCAGTGGTTGTACGATCTACAAGTAGTACCTATTTGTGTTTTTATTCTATACTGGACGTGGACTCATAATTGCGTATATTGCGTGTGTGTGTGTGTGTTTTTTTTTTTTTTTTTTTTTTTTTATATATATATATATATATATATAATTATATCGCTTTCCTAGATTTTATCAATATAATCAATATCCGTTAGATAGGAGGTTAATTGGTCGAATACATATTTTCTATGTTGTTTTGGAGGGTTGAGTACCGTTTTGGAATCGAATTTCATATTGTCTATATGCTCAATTTGGTTTTGGAAAACTGATCTAAAGTTGTCATGGGTGGTGCATTCGAACAGAATGTGTTCTATGGTTTCCGGTTCACCACAGTTTGGACAATATGGACTGACTTCCTTTTTAATACGGTTGATGTTATGACCGAGTTTGGTGTAGCCTAATCGAAGTCTAGTGATAACAGTATCCTCTACTTTATTATAACTATATAACTGAGGTTGGATCTTAACATTGCTCTCGATGGAATAGAGCCAGTTATTAGTTAATTTCGACCAATTTTCCTGCCTTATCAATTGAGTTTTGTCATTGATTATACTGACGACCTCTGATACACTCAAGTCTATATTTAGATGAACATCACGTGACCCTAAGGCTGCTCTAGCGAGTTGATCTGCTATCTCGTTACCTAAAATGTCGACATGAGATGGAATCCATTCGAATTTTAGATCTATTCCTAATTGATCGATCTCGGTGATCATATAATGAATTGCATTAAGCAGTTTAGGTCTACTGCTATTTCCAGTTGTCAAGGATTGTAAGGAGCTGAGGGAGTCCGAAAGAATGACTACTCGTTCAAATTTGGTGTGGTTTTTCTTAATACCTAGTAATGCTATTTGAATAGCCATGAGTTCAGCTGTGTAGACCGAGGCTCTGTCACTTAGTCGGAGAGATTTTCTGATGTTATATGTATCGTTATATATACCTATCCCTACTCTATCATTGGTTGGATTTTTAGAGCCATCGGTATAAAATTTAACGAAGTTGTAATATTTCTTATCTATCAACTCTAATGCTAGGTGTTTTGCGCCTATCGGGTCGTGGTGTTTATCTAACGTCTTATGCAGTAATAGCGATACGTTTGGTGATGTTTTTAACCACGGGACTTGGAAATCTTGTTTGCGGGAGATCTTGACACCTTCTAAACCATATTTCTGTTTTAATCTAAGTATTTCTGAAGGATAGGGAGCCCTGATGTTGGTAACAGGTATTTCACTATTTTGTATTGCTTTGTTTAGTAAGAACCTATCCCCATGATTTTGGGTTCTAGCCCAGTATTTTAGAGTAAGGTTTTCTCGCCTAAGTGTTAATGTTGTTTCGCCGGCCTCTGCTAGTAAACTATTGCTGTTGGTGTTTTTGATGGCCCTTAGCGCTACCCTTAAGGCTGTGTGTTGTATTACATCTAGATGTTTTAATACTGTGTCACTAGCTATATTATATACCTGGCACCCGTAATCTAACCTTGATCTAACTAAGGCCTTATATAACATTAATTGAGTTGTTTTATTGGCGCCAAATTTACAACCAGAAATATACCTCATGGTGTTAATTGCCTTTTGGCATGATTCCTTTACATATTGAATATGTTTACTCCATGTGAGTTTGTGATCGATTATCATGCCTAAATACCTAACTTGTTTTTCAAATTTTAATTTGGTCTGGCCTAGGTATAGTTCTGGTAGTGTTCTACTTCTAGAGAAATACATTGCTACAGTTTTTTGTTTAGATGGTTTAAAACCCCACTTATTGGCCCACTCATTAATTGCTGTAAGATTTTTTTGGATATGTTTGGTTAGATATCTAATGTTTTTTCCTGTACTCCAGATACACCCATCATCTGCAAATTGCGCTAACTTGGTGTTGTTGTTTAGCGTATCTGACAGTGTGTTGATGTAAATATTAAAGAGTGTTGGAGAAATAACGCTGCCTTGTGCTACACCGTTGTCTAGTTCAAGTTGATCCGAAAGAGTGTTATGGATCCTAACTTGAATTTTACGGTTTTTAAGGAAACTGTTGACGAATTTGAAGATGTTACCAGTTATGCCGAATTTTTTTAGTGAGACCAGAAGTCCGTCATGCCAAATGAGATCATAAGCTTTTTCCAGATCTAAGAAGACAGCTAGAGTGTTTTGTTTGAGGTTAAAACCTTTTTTTATCTCTGAAGTGAGTCGTAGTAGTGGGTCTAATGTCGATCTACCCTTACGGAATCCGCTCTGTTCCTCGTTTATGATACCTGATCTTTCTAATGAGTGTACTAGCCTATTGTTTACCATAGTTTCCATGACCTTACACAGGTGTGAGGTTAGAGCTATGGGCCTATATGATGCAGGTTCTTGTGGATTTTTACCTGGTTTTAGTATAGGTATAACAATGGCATTTTTCCAAGATTCAGGTATTATACCTGTGTCCCATATGTGGTTGTAAAAAAGGAGTATGATGTCTGTGATGTTGTCCGGACAGTGTTTGAGTATGTTGTATGAAATATTATCATCGCCCGGGGACGTGTTTCTCTTGTTCTGTAGTGCTTGTTTGTATTCTGTGATTGTGAATGGGCAGTTGAGATCACCGGTGTTAGGGCCTGGGTCTTTGATTTCATTATCAATGGTGACTTGATTGTGAACTTTATTTAGTTTGAATTCAGGGGTCAAATTATCATTACTACTAGCCTTTTGATATTGTTTAGCTAGAGTATCTGCCTTTTCCTTATCGGTAATGTTGTTCTTACCTAGTATAGGGATTTCTGATCTACTTATTCCCTGTATAGCTTTGACCTTTGACCAAACGTTTTTCAAATTAGTTTTGTTATTTAAAGATGTACAAAACTCTTGCCAATGATTGTTTTTGGCGTTTTGAATGATGTTATTGAAGTTTGTTTTGCATCTTGTGTACTCTGTTTTTAATAGTTCACTATTTTTATTTGCCCTCCATTTCCTTTCGCTATTCTTTTTGAGTTTTTTGGCTAACCTACACTCATCGTTCCACCATGGATTGTTTTTCCTCGTTTTGGGTTTGCCTGAGGTTTTAGGGATAGATGTTGACGCTATATCTAAAATAACCCTAGTTAAATTTGCATTAAAGACGTCAACATCTTGATCGAAAATTTCCTCATGTTGGATTGTTTCTGCTAAAATTTTGAATTGGTCCCAATTGGCCTTATTAAAAACCCATCGTGGTGTGTATTGAATTGTATTGACATGGGGTTTAAAATCAAACTGTGTCAAAATTGGGTAATGGTCGGAACCTAGAGTGCTATCGAGGGTGTTCCAGTAGCTACATTTACTAGCTAAGTTTGGAGATGCTAGGGTGATATCTAGATGGGATTCTATACCCCGTGCTACATCTATTCTAGTAGGGTTACCCTCATTTAGTATGGTTAGACCAGTCTCATCTGCCCATTTGTGTATTGTTTCTCCCCGGGAATTGTTTTTGTTACTTCCCCACAATGTATGATGTCCATTAAAATCCCCGGTTACAATGATGTTATCTGTGTCGATATTTTCTATCAGATTCACCAGGGAATTAAATGGAATTGGTTTTTTGGGGGAGAGGTATATATTGAGTATGACTGTTTTGTTTGTTTTGTTGTGTAGTTCTATTCCTAGAGCCACAATATCTTGGTCTTTGATTTCATACTCTTTGTATGCAATTCCGCATTTTATATATATTGCCAAACCTTGGTCCGAATCGTACCTAAATGGTGGATTGTAACCATTAATTTTGAAACTTTTGTGTTTAGGTTTAAGCATTGTTTCCTGAATACATAAAATATCGGGAGCATTTTCGTTCAGAAATGATTTTAATTCTGAAATTTTCGGCTTAAGGCCTCCTGCATTCCAATGCATGACAGTAAGGCCTGACTGGTCATTTAATATACCCGCGAAAGAAAATGGGTATTTATATTAAATTTATGTTGCTTGTGGCTCTAGTAAAGCTGTCGTTTGCTATTTCCAGGTCTCGGCTGATTGGCGGTGTGTTTTGCCCGTGATCTGGTGTTAGGGCGTGTCGGTGTTGTTTGTTTGTTTTTTGGTGTTGTTTTATTGTTTGTTTGTGTCCTACGTCTACCCAATCCAGTAGGAGAGCGAGGTGTGGGAGGTTTGGACAGAAACGAGTCGTCTAACTCTCCAGAACTATCCAGAAGGTGTATTGTTTGTTGTGTAGGAGTGTTTTTGGTTTGTGTGGTTGTTATTAAGGTTTGGGGTGTTGTTTGTGTTGAGAAAAGTGTAGGTGATGTTGTTGGTGTGGACTGTGTTGGTTTTGGCTGTGTTGGTGAGGTTTGTGTGGGTGTTGTTTGTGTCAGTTTATTTATGGGTGTGACTTGAGGTGCCGGGAACCCGTTTTGTTTGTTTATTAGGGCCCTGACTTTTTGTAGTGCTTGTCTGTCTGTGAGTGTTTGATCACGTGCTAACAGGACAATATTGCCGAGTAGCTCTGTGGTGACTAATACTCCGTGTTGTGTAGGTGTTATTTGTGAGTTAATGGTTGTAGTAGTGTTGGTGTGTTTGTTTGTGTTATTTTGCGGAGTGTTGTTTTGTACGACTGCCGAGTACAGTCGATTTGTTGTAGTTTTGTTGTAGGTGATTTGGGTTGTTGAGCACTGGGAATATTTTGGTTTTGTATGCTTTGTAGTAGGTTTTTGTTGTTTGCGTGGTACGTTGAATTTTGTTACTGGATATGTGATTTTGTTAAATTTGATTTCTTTAGGTAGAGTGTTTGAGTGAAATTCCAGTAGGATGGATGTAGTAGGTTGTTTGTCTTTGTTGTGCATCCTACTGGCTGTCTTGACATTGTTTATTTTGTTTAATGATGTTAATGACGTGTTGAGGGGGATCCGATAGATGACCCCCTTTGTTGTTGTGCGAGTCATTTTTTGTTTGCGTCTAGGTGGGGAGTTTGTATATGGCCGTTTAGATAGCCGTGTTGTACATGGTGTACCATCTATACATGCGATTTTCATCGCCTTTGTTATGCACATCGCTGTGGCGCAGAGAACTAATATGATACCTGATGGTAGCATCTTGACGTCCCTGACGTCACTGGTTACCCCTGTGTATTGGGATATGTCCCCGCGAACACGTCCCGCATGTAGTGGTTTTTTATCCCTAGGGGTCAGTATAACTACGGCGGGTTTGTTTGTGGTTGGGCCAGCCATGTTGTGTTTGTAGTTAGTTGACAGAGGGAAAAGGGTGAGAGGAATTCCTGTGGGGAGATCCTAATTAGTCTAGAATAAAAGGTCTGGTGTGTTACCTGGAGACGGAGCGACAGAGACCTTGATTGAGAAAAGAACGCGGTCAAGCGTGAAAGTGAGTGGTCTGGATAGCAGAGGTTGTGTAGTCAGGTGTGAAAGTGTGATATCTGGCCACGGAAAGACAATGGACAGGAACCAGATACAGTTTTTCTTTTGTTTTTGGGGTTGGGATGGCACTTTATAAGGCCGTCTTAAAAATGGTCCGAAATGAATAGCCCGATAAGAAAATAGATAAAATAAAGGTTATATGTATCAGAGATATATAAAATATGAAATATTTTCTACAGAATTATAACTCTACCTAATACTGTTTGGACCTTCCTATTGTATTTGATATATAGCTGAATCTAGTTATAACTATAGTATCACTATAAAACTCCTTAAACAAGGTATCTAAATAATAAATTATACAGACCAGGATACTATTTATTATCAGTTCCCGACGCTAAAATACGAGATAGCGACTAAATGATTAATAAGAAATCTTGAAAAGTACTTATCCTTCTGATGGATTTCTCGGGAACTCTGTTGTCTAATTAATCCTCGGTCTGCCGATAGAATTAACACATCAAAAAAAGAAAGAAAAAAAAAAGTCCACAGGAATTACACAATATATTCCAGAAGAATATATGGAATATATATATATAGAAAAGACTGTTGGTGAATGATGTAACCTAACACTATATCGTTGATGACAGGTAACAAAGGTACTCTAAGCCTGTAGGTAGGTGTCGACAGCTCAGGGGTCAGTCTCGTATCGTCAGCTACTGGAGTCGATATGCATCCGATGTATATATACACTGAGAGCTCAGGTACGACTGGTACCAGAGTGACGTCACGCCTGGCTGGGGGTCATACTTGACCCGAGTTAGCATCGAATGAGGGGCATGGATGTGTTACAACAGCATAACACTCTATCACTGTGGCGATATCTCATGCTAAACAGCAGAGCCAATTAGCGTTTGTGGACTAAACAAGTGGATGGGCAACTTTCCCCGGCAACCCTGCTGGTCAGGGAACGAGAAATGTTTTATGAAGCGACTAATATGTTAGAAGAAGTCGAAATAAACATACTGCGCCAATTGCCTTTAAAATAGTATCTGCTATCTATTTCTTATTTTGTTTTTCATTTCCTCACGACTTGCTTAGCAACACCTTAATCTTTTGGTCTTAAGAACTGGCCGACTGTCCTAGTATGGAAGATTATGAGTTCTCGAATTGACCGCGACAAACCAGTACGTAATATTTGTTCATCTATAGACGCTGGCGATAAGGAAAGGTACATCCGTTTTAAGTAACATATTGCGTGTTATATTACTGTGTTGGGATAGGCTTCAGTGGTGTACAAGTGGACGGACTACCTTCCATCTAGATCTGTGTTTCAGTGGATTACCTACATTTCCACGGTGAACCATTGGACGTATTACCTTCCCTCTTGTTCTGTGTTTCAGTGGATTACCTGCCTTCTCCGGTGTACCAGTGTATTCTAGTCAGACAGGATAGTCTACCTTCCCTTTGTGGACCAGTGGACGGACTACCTTCCCTTTCTGGACTAGTGGACGGACTACCTTCCCTTTGTGGACCAGTGGACGGACTACCTTCCCTTTGTGGACCAGTGGACGGACTACCTTCTCTTTGTATTCTAGTCAGACAGGATAGTCTACCTTTCCTGTGTGGACTAGTGGACGGACTACCTTCCCTTTCTGGACCATTGGACAGACTACCTTCCCTTTGTGGACCAGTGGACGGACTACCTTCCCTTTGTGGACCAGTGGACGGACTACCTTCCCGTCTACCTTCAGTGGAAGGAGTACCTTCCCTTTGTGGACCAGGGGACAGACTACCTTCCCTTTGTGGACCAGTGGCCAGACTACCTTCCCTTTGTGGACCAGTCGACAGACTACCTTCCCTTTGTGGACCAGTCGACAGACTACCTTCCCTTTGTGTACCAGTGGATTCCCTACCTTCCCTCGGTGTACCATTGGACGGACTACCCCACCCTAGATATATGTTCCAGTTGATTGGTTACATAACCTCGGTGTACCAGTGGATTACCTGCCTTCCCTCGGTGTACCATTGGCCGGAATGCCCCACCCTAGATATATGTTCCAGTTGATTGGTTATAACCTCGGTGTACCAGTGGATTCCCTGCCTTCCCTCGGTGTACCATCGGACGGATTACCCCACCCTAGATATATGTTCCAGGTGATTGATTACATAACCTCGGTTTACCAGTGGATTCACTGCCTTCCCTCGGTGTACCATTGGACGGAATACCCCATCCTAGATATATGTTCCAGGTGATTGGTTACATAACCTCTGTAAACCAGTGGATTCCCTACCTTCTCTCGGTGTACCATTGGACGGATTACCCCACCCTAGATATATGTTCCAGGTGATTGGTTACATAACCTCGGTAAACCAGTGGATTCCCTACCTTCTCTCGGTGTACCATTGGACGGAATACCCCACCCTAGATATATGTTCCAGGTGATTGGTTACATAACCTCGGTAAACTAGTGGATTCCCTACCTTCTCTCGGTGTACCATTGGACGGAATACCCCACCCTAGATATATGTTCCAGGTGATTGCTGACATTCCCTCGGTGTAACAGGGAAAGGACCATTTGTGTATGTTTCTACAACCGATAATATGTTGTATTGTGGTACTACAATAATTTGAAAAAAGAATATCTTCAGTATATTATTACCATACTATAACTCCAGCTGTAAAACTGAACAGTAACATTTCAAATATATATTAATGCATTGATTACCATTAAAACCCGGATGAAATTATACATAAATCGTATGTTTATTGCCTTACAGTTATAAAAATACTATTGTTATATATGCACGTTTCCCGTTGTTGATCTACAAAGCTGCAAAATCGATTAGGAATTTGAATATAAAACAAAAACAGCAGAAAATAAAAATCTAATAAAGAGAGTATATCCTGCTTGTCCTCGCTTCCTGTATCTGGCAAATAGCTATCTCATTAACGGTTAATATTTCGTGTTACTGTGAAAAGTCGATAATATTGTCAACTTGTTTGTCAAGTGTCCTTGTCAATACCCACTGGTTACATCCAACCAGTCTGTACAACAACAGCGTGTAGCAACACTCAAGTTCCGATACAGTTTATGTACGTCTGATTTAAAACAGAATATTAAATATAGATGTGTTGATTGTGTCCGCGTCACTTCATTCTCCACATCTCCATAGGCATGTACAGGTATACACTAGAAGTAACATATGGGTGGTTAAGTTGGGACTGTAATTTGTCACAGACATAACGCATACAGCCGGCATTGGAGTATACCATATTATAGATCAGGATGCATTGACAATCCTTTTTCTTGGATTACTTTCCAAATAAATATTTTTTGAAAAAGATAAAACCTCTCACCTTTACGTAGTATATCGAGGCCAGGTGAGGAAACTGGTAAAAACCATAGTCGAGTTAGGGGAGCAGAAACTATGTTAAAAGTCTATCAAGGGTTGGTATTATTGTTTACTCGTCCTGTTGAGTTAGAAGAGCAGAAACTGTGTTAAAAGTGTACCAAGGGGTGATATCATTGTTTACCCAGTCCTGTCGAGTTAGAAGAGTAGAAGCTGTGTTAAAAGTGTACCAAGGGTTGGTATTATTGTTTACCCAGTCCTGTTGAGTTAGAAGAGCAGAAACTGTGTTAAAAGTCTATCAAGGGTTGGTATTATTGTTTACTCGTCCTGTTGAGTTAGAAGAGCAGAAACTGTGTTAAAAGTCTATCAAGGGTTGGTATTATTGTTTACTCGTCCTGTTGAGTTAGAAGAGCAGAAACTGTGTTAAAAGTCTATCAAGGGTTGATATGAAACTGTATTAAAAGACTACCAAGGGTTGGTATCATTGTTTACCCGTCCTGTTGAGTTAGAAGAGCAGAAACTATGTTAAAAGTCTACCAAGGGGTGATATCATTGTTTACTCGTCCTGTTGAGTTAGAAGAGCAGAAACTGTGTTAAAAGTCTATCAAGGGTTGATATGAAACTGTATTAAAAGACTACCAAGGGTTGGTATCATTGTTTACCCAGTCCTGTCGAGTTAGAAGAGTAGAAACTGTGTTAAAAGTGTACCAAGGGGTGATATCATTGTTTACCCAGTCCTGTCGAGTTAGAAGAGTAGAAACTGTGTTAAAAGTGTACCAAGGGGTGATATCATTGTTTACCCAGTCCTGTCGAGTTAGAAGAGTAGAAGCTGTGTTAAAAGTGTACCAAAGGGTTGGTATTATTGTTTACACAGATCTGTCTAGCAAGGAGAGTAGAGATTGTGTTAAAAGTTTACCAAAGATTAGAATAACTGTTTAACCAGACAAGCCCATTGCCATGTTAATCTTCTAGGGAATCCTGGCCTCGATCAAAGTTCTCTTACACCTGATAAAAATGGTAGGAATGCCATGTATACAAAACTTGGTCAGACGTGACAATGTTTGTTTCAGGGGTTCCATTGAACCGGATTTACATAGGTCTTGGAATGTGGGTACTTGTCGGATCTAATTAGCCCAGTAATCGTACACACGTGGTAATGACTGTCGTATAGACTATCAATTAAGTCAAAACTGCTTAATATCCGTTTGTGTTGTTCATGCATAATTAACAACATTTCAGACTGTTTAATAATATGCATTTGATGTGCATGTTTGTTTTCAAAGCCGAAACACGAGTGAAATAAAAAGAAAAGAAAACGAAATACGACCATTGCTATCAAGGGATTTTTATTAGGCAAAACAACTGACGATATGCTTAAACCTCGTCAGAGCAATGGAAACATACCTGTTATATCGTAATGCCACGAGGATGACGATAGATCTACAAAGGACAATTTCTACAATCCAAATGGAAACGAAAAGGGATCAAAATTCTTTTGGTCT